CAGGCACTAAGACTCTCAAAGTTTCCCCTCCACACCAGCTGCTATCACTGGAAGGGCCCCAAACAGTGATGCTTCAGTATCCAGAGGCTTCTGCATGTTCCTGGCATCTGTGACACCAGGTACGAAGGCAAGCACTGGGCCTTCTTTCCTTTAGTGCCCAAAAATCCAACTAATTCTTCTTTCTCAAATTACACTTGACTCATCTTCTTGACGGGGCTGCTCCAAGGTATACCTGTGAAATACAGTCAGTGAAACAAGCTAACAACAGATACTACAAAGCAGCACACACAGTGTGGCAACAAGATGTAAGGAAATAGTCAGACAAATATTCAATACACAAAAATTATCAGAGAAACAGTTTACATCCTAACCCCACAAAAGGTAACAACCCTACCTCACTAAATCAACACCTTAATGCAATACACATGTAGGTAGTAAAAAATGTTTATGGAGAGTATAATATTTTGTGAAATAGTCACCATAGGAAACACTTTAATAAAAGAAACATGTAATCACTCAAAAAGGATATACAAAATGAGCAGTCTAGTTAAGGAAAACAAGTTGCACTGTTTCTAGTTCACACACCTTTTATGACATCAGTTTTCATTTAACTCCTTGCCAGTATGAACGAATAAGAACACAGTCCAAAAGGGATTTATCTTTGTGTTTATTATTTCACTGAGACACGTAACAACGTGTTCTCTCCCGGCAGCACAGGTCGTCACAACAGTGATCAGTCACTGTTCCATATGGTTAATATAACCACCGTTCTAAGAACCTCTTACCAAAAAATAAAAAACAAACCCTTCACTGACAGGACAGACACCAAGACGATACCCGCATAACCACAGAAGGGACGACCCTCTTACCCTGCCATCGTTAAAATACCTAACACCCGCATTTATTAAACGTGCACAAATCGTGAAGTCACAGCACGCCCCATCGTACCGTACCCCGTTAAAGACAACAACAAAAAACACACACACAAGCAGAACCGCTTCAGGCGCTCCAACAAGCACCGAGCAGCCGTCGCGGACAGCCAGGCCCGCTCCCGGACACACTCCCCGAGAAGCCGGGCGAAGCTCAGGGAAACAACTTTTACCGGGAGCGCACAGCCGGCGGCAGCCAGGCAGGGCCGCGTCCCTGCAGCCCAAGCCCTCCCGGGACACCCCCGGCGCTGCTCGGGCCTCCGAGGCCGGCCGGGCCCCCGGGGGGG